GGGGGGGAAGGGGGCATCATCTGAGAGAGACCTGCCGATCACAGCGTGCGGGCCGAGGCCGTGAGTCCTCGTGGGGAGCAATTGCACCGACATTCTTGCGAACCTGTATCGGAGCTTTCCTGGTTATCATGAACAGTATCACGATGCTTAGTAGACATTTATCAAAGTATAAACAGAATTTTCATAGAGTGGCGTAAACCTCCACAAATTGGATGTGGCTGGGCTCAAAGGGTAGAAGAGCAATTGCATCGACAAAGGCCAAAACGAATTGTTGAAGTGTTTTGCTCTTTGAGGTTGGTTCAGATGGAGGAATGCATCGGATGAGGCTTGCGGGAGAAGCTGGTTCTGCCGCCTGTCATACGTAATGAGACGAAATGCTCTGTGCAAGAAAAAGCCAGAGCTTCAACGACCTCACACTCCAGCCAACCTCCATCAAGCAAAGTCAATGGCAACTCCCGCTCACAATCTTGCATTGTCACACGCAAACATACAATCACACATTTCAACCTCCTTAATGCCCCTACTGCATAGTACACACCATCACAACTTTTTAGCAACAGCCCCAGACAACACGAGCTTCCCACAAGCTTGCTTGCCAACCAACGTTCCTAGCAGGGGTGCAAGCTAAAGGTAAAGCGTGATAAGGGCTTCCAGGTTCCTCTAACAGAGAGGTCTCCACTCGCGTAAACCGGCTCCGAAGACTGGATTCAGACCTGTTTCAGTCAAGGGTCCTTTTCCCGCACCGTCACGGTCTGTTGGAGGCTTGGAGCTCTCTGTTGGAACCACAAAACACGACGACGATATGAGAGACAGCCCACGCACGGCACGGCACCCGCCAACCGCGGCGCAAGGCAAAAGCTGCAGCTCAATTCCAGGATGAGGCAGAGCCCCGAAGCTCGTACCCAAGGGCGGCAGGGCGGGCGGGCTGGCCAGGGTTCAGGTCCAGGAGGCCGGCTACCTTATTTTGCTCAGAACCACACAGCTGATTGTCTGTGACGAGGACAAGGCATGCGGCGGGGGAACCTTGCGAAACGAAACGGTGCAACAACATCTCCGTCCCTTATTTTTCCTTTTCGCCACGAGAAAACACGCGTTGCTGCTTGCATGGTTCCAGCCCCCGGCACAAAGGCCTCCCTCCTCCCCTTCCCTCGTCCGTCAGTGACAGTGTCATTCCTCGAGCGAGGTGGATGGCAAGCAAGGTACGGATGGCCAGCTAGTACTGCATAGTAGTAGCTGTCTTCTGCCGCGGTTGCTCCCAACCCGTCTCGTCTCGGCTGGGTCGTCCTTTTTTTTTTTTTTTTTTTTTTTTTTTTTTTTGGGGGGGGGGGGGGGGTTTGTNCTTCTTTTTTTTTTTTTTTTTTTTTTTTTTTGTTGAGGGGAGATGGCTGGCTTGATGCGCCAGAGGAGGGCAACCAAAAAAAGAGACGGTGCGTGTTTCCTTACATATCCTCTACCCACCCCCCATGCCACGCCGCCGTCGCCAATATGTTTCTCCCGTGCATGAGGTCCGTCTTTCCTTGACTTTCAACTCGACTGACCGACTTTTCGCCTCTTTTTCGCTGGAAGCCTGCCGAGTTGTGCCCTTTTTTTTGTCTCTGTTCCCATCTTGCCGCCTTCGACAGCAAGCAGCGCACACAAAACCGTTGGGCCCTGTCGTATTGCCCTGATTCGAGTAAACTGTGTAGCATCGTCGTTGTGATATCACCACTCCAGGCCAAGCGCCCAGCCTTTCTTGCGCCTTGCGACCAACTCTGTCTACCTACCTTCACAGGCCATTGAGAAGCTTCCTTTTGGCTTTTCAGAGCGCCAATTCTTCATCGCCTCGCCATTGATCGGTTTACACTTGTGGCAGACCGCAGCCGACTAAAAGCTACCCCTCCCCCGCATTACACCATTCACCATGGCCGTTGCCAACGACGGCTTCGGGGACCTGGGTCTCGACATCATCGGAGTCGGCACTCAGTATCCACCTCATTCGCTGGAAGCCAATTCGATAGACTACCTCAGCGAGATGTATTACCCTGAGTCTCCTGCGTATGTCACGGCCTCTCCGCGATCCTTGCGATTCTGCTAATACCTGGTGGTACTAGGATGAAGAAGATCCTGTCCATCAACAGGTTCACCGGCATCGAGTACCGTTCGTCCATCGGCACACCAGAGCATCCAATCGTAAACCAGAAGAAACCCCCATCAATCACCGATCTTCACAATGTGTTCATGAGCGATGGTGTCCCATTGGCCATCAGCGCCTCCCGCAAGGCCATCGAAGAAGCCGATATCGATCTCAGCGAGATCACCCACATCGTCGCGACGACCTGCACCGACAGCGCAAACCCAGGGTTCGACCACTACGTTATCAAGGGGCTCGGGATGACACACCAGGTCGAGAAGGTCCTCTTGCATGGGGTGGGCTGCAGCGGAGGTCTCGCCTCGCTGAGAACCGCGGCGAATCTGGCGCTGGGCCACAAGTTTCGAGGGAAGCCTGCTCGGATTCTCTGTGTCGCGCTCGAAGTCAGCACGACACTGGTACGCAGCGAGCTGGACAGCATCAACGAGACGCAGGAGACGAGGATCGGCGTGGCATTATTCTCGGATTGCGCCAGTGCTGTGGTGCTCAGTAACGGCATCGGGCAGCCTGCGGCGCCTGTGTACTCCTTGCTGGGGTGGGAGCACAAGATTATCCCAGATACCGAAGGCGACCTTGGTTTCGATGTTGACCCTGTTGGTAAGTTTGACACTGTCTGGCCATTGTGTTCGACACACGCTAACACGAACAAAAGGTTGGAAGGTGGTTCTCTCGCCACGAGTCCCGAAACTCGCCTCGGCGGCCGTGCCCACAACCTTTTCAGAGCTCATGTCTTCGATTCCCCCACTAGGGCCGCGTTACCAGAAGGCGGACGACTTCGACTGGGCTATGCATCCCGGAGGTGCCACGATTTTGACCGAGGCCGAGAAGGCGATGAGCATTTCATCATTCCACATGCGGGCGAGCTATGATACATACATGAAGCACGGGAACTCGAGTTCGGCGACGATATTCAGCGTGATGGACCGGCTTCGTTCCAAAGACATGGACGATATCGCTCCGGAGGGCCGGGCACGCGACTACGTAGTGGGGTGCGCGTTCGGGCCCGGGATTGCGGTGGAGATGTGCATGCTCAAGCGGAACCTGGGGGCTCGGGGCATCACGGGCCTGGAAACGCCGCCGGAAACAGAGAGCGAGGGCAGCAGCAGAAGCGAAGCTGGGGACGACGGTGGAGCGCAGATGGAGGGGCACACGTCTTCGGGACGGGACGGGGGTCAATCCTTTGTGGCGGAGGCACTAGAGAATCTGGAGTTGGACTGAAGATGGACATGGCGGGGGAACGGGGCCCGGGAGAGAAGACAGGAGACGGTATATAGTGGGAGGCGGCGAAGGACGGATGCATACCCCTGACACAACGGCGTTGTTACGAGGACACGATGTGCCTCGGTTTGTCAGTCTCGTTCGGCTGAGCCATGGTATTGATAGCTGGCAGTAATCGAAATAGAAGCATGACTTCCTTGACGAGTTGAAGAAGTTCCAGAGGCCGCCGCGATTGGCCGAGTGTTTGCGAGGTAATGGAAAGGCATGACATGGCATATGCAAGCTCGCGGTTCGAAGCCGAGATGGAGGTCGGGTTCAAAGCCGTCAGGTGGGAAGGCGAACTCTTGGAAGTGGAGGCCACGATATCAGAGACACGAGATGAGCCGAGAGGTGTGGAATTTCTCCGGCAATGGAGGAGGGTATCGCGGGATGGTCAACGTTTGGCCGAGGAAGAGAAGGCATTGAGGTGCCGATGTGTGGTCGATGGATGCTCGGTTTTCGGCGGACAAAGGGTCGAAGGCTATCACGATCCCGCAACTTCCCGGGCTTCGGCAATGGAGAAGGCGTCAAGGCTGGGTGGGACGGCGCAGCTGGTAAGGATGAGTTCATGGCCGGGGATGGCATCGTCATGAAGCGGCGCGATTGGTCGTTGGTTTCCGGGGCCCGGCTGCATGAGGTAAGGAAATTGGGGGAAGCAGATCCGATGGTGCATCTTTGGGGCCGGGATGGGGGTTGCAATGCGACGGAAATTTGTTGTTGCGGTCGGTGTGTGTGTCGGATCGGGTCCGGAGGTTCACGATGCTTCACATGGCGGGCATCAGCTTCGGATCCAAGAATATGGATGTTTTATTTTTACACACCTTTCGACACACCGAGATGCTCGGTGAAACAACCACTACCCTGGCCATCAGAGCAGCCCCGTTATGGAGAATCGAGTCATTGATATCCACGGGCTGGACAATAAATATCTCAACAAGCAGAAGTAAGGCCGAGAAGTCTGGAGAGGGAAAAGTCAAATGCCATGACAGTCAGCAGGCTCGACAGCGGTCTCGGTGGCCGGAGCGGTAGGTGCACGGGCCAGAGAGGCGCTGACACGGCTGGGCACAGCAGCTGGGCCCTCTACAAGCCCCGCCATTCGAGCGCCATCGCAGTGCCCCTCGTCGCCCAACCGGGAAAAGCACAGGGCAGCGAGTGATTGGATCCCTGCAATAAGTGGTGCGCCAGCAATATTTTGACGTCAATTGGACGGTGGGTGGGGGGAGGGGTTATTCGCGTTTGACGTGGTAAGAGGGGCTCTGTGATTCGACGGTCCGATGCTAAGGTACTTGCGCAGCAGTACTTTTTTCCCCTTCCCTTTCCTTCCTCAACAAGTCCTCCAGGTTGAGACACTGCAACGAGAGGGAGAGAAAGACAGAGACAGTCTCCCACTGTTGGCGGCGCTCTCGGCGAGGAGAGGAGGTGCTGAATGAGATACCTACCTAGGTAGGTAGTGAGAAGTGACACAGGAAAATCCGAATGGAATCAGGTACCCACGTTGGCTGCTGGAGGTGAATCGCGGTAGCAAGCAGCAGCTAAGGTACGCAGTATGCCCCTCGGTACTTTGCCTTCCCACATCCGATGTACCTCCTGCCGTTGGACTGGCGTAAGAAATAGCAACCTGGACAGGGAAGAGGAGCTCCTCATGTACCTCACCTCTCGCAGGCAAGGTAGTGTCCCTTCCCAGTCGAGCCCAGGCCCAGCACCGCACCTCACCTCATGCAACCGCGACCCAGCAAAAGGCACCCGTCACTGGAGCGATGGACTGAACGTGGGACATGGACCGGGTTCTGCTGCTCAGCCCGAGTAAAATCCCGCTCGTGGGTGTGAGCAACCAAACATAGTTAACCCGTCCACTTCCACCTATTCCAAACTTTCTTTCTGAATCTTTTCCTCCTCCAATTCCTACATCGCAAATCAGCTTTTTGGTCCGTTCGTCTCTGGCCCGTCGCAACAGACACACCTCTCACTACACAACCCCGAATACCACACAGACAGATACAGACATCCCGCCATCCATCATGGGTCTGCTGGAAGAGCTCAACATCAAGCCCGGTGTCATCTACGGCGATGACGTCCTGAAGCTGTTCACCTACGCCAAGGAGAAGGGCTTTGCCATTCCCGCTTGCAACGTCGTATGTTGTTCCCCCTCGCCCTGCTCGTCGTGTTCCGCCGCCGCCGTTGTCGTCGGTTGCCGGAGATCAGACCGAATGACACGGAAAAGAGGGGTGTTGACAATCGGCTAACAACCCCGCCTCCCAGACCTCCTCTTCCACCGCCGTTGCTGCCCTCGAGGCTGCCCGCGAGGCCAAGTCCCCCATTGTTCTCCAGACGTACGTCGTCTCGACCTCCCAACGACTTGATTGTTTTCGGTTCTGACAAGTCCCAGCTCCCAGGGCGGTGCCGCCTACTTCGCCGGCAAGGCCATCCCCAACTCTGCCGACAAGCAGGAGGCTTCCGTCGCCGGTGCCATTGCTGCCGCCCACTACATCCGCTCCATTGCCCCCGTCTACGGCGTTCCCGTCGTCCTCCACTCCGACCACTGCGCGTGAGTTTGCCCCCGATGCCAATATCTGCGTTATCCGCACAGGAATTGACAGTCTTTGCAGCAAGAAGCTCCTGCCTTGGCTCGATGGCATGATCTCCGCCGATGAGGAGGAGTTCAAGCGCTCCGGCCACCCCCTCTTCTCCTCCCACATGATTGACCTTTCCGAGGGTTCGTGCCGGCCCCGATACCTTCTGCACAGCACGAGACTGACATGCAACAGAGGAGGTCGCCTACAACATCGAGACCACCGCCAAGTACCTCAAGCGCTCTGCTCCCATGAAGTTGTGGCTCGAGATGGAGATCGGAAGTAAGAGACACGACTCAATCATGCCCTGAACGCGATAACTAACAATCACACAGTCACTGGTGGTGAGGAGGATGGTGTCAACAACGAGGATGTCGACAACAACTCTCTGTACACCCAGCCCGAGGATATCTACGCCATCTACCAGGCTCTGTCCCCCATCTCCCCCTACTTCTCCATCGCTGCCGGTTTCGGTAACGTCCACGGTGTCTACAAGCCCGGGTAAGCAATTAGCAATCAACCAGCAATCTTGACAATGAGCTCCGGTCTGACCTCTTCGCAGCAACGTCAAGCTCCACCCCGAGCTGCTCGGAAAGCACCAGGAGTTCGTCGCTGCCAAGCTTGGCAATGGCGACAAGAAGCCTGTCTTCTTCGTCTTCCACGGTGGCTCCGGCTCCGCTGTCGAGGAGTTCCAGAAGGCCATCTCCTTCGGTGTCGTCAAGGTCAACATCGACACCGACCTCCAGTGGGCTTACCTGTCTGGTATCCGTGACTACGTCACCAAGAACATTGACTACCTGAAGTAAGTGCCCTTGTGTATCAGCTGTCAGACGACGGCCTCTAACGCCCGAATAGGACCCAGGTCGGCAACCCCGAGGGTGACGACAAGCCCAACAAGAAGAAGTACGACCCCAGAGTCTGGGTCCGTGAGGGTGAGAAGGTCATGAAGGACCGTGTCAAGCAGGCCCTGTTTGACTTCAAGGCCGACAACGTTTTGTAAAGGATGGATAGTGGGTGATACCTCTGCAGAGACTGGACCGAGATGTGGGGTCGCAGGCTCTGTTTCGTAGGATGAAGCTGTCAAAAGACGCCTACCTACATAACATTCAAATTGAAGTAAAAGATCAAGAAAAAAAAAAATGCTCTCGTCTGCCACAAGATGCCCAATTGAGAAATATTGCAGATTGGCGGCATGACTCCTTAATCACAGGTAGGCACTCGGAGCCAACTCGACCACACCTACCGTCGCCGTGCGTGGTCTATCATTGTGCAAGACGCGCTCTATCACATCTACCGTCTGCAAAGTACCCCTAACGGCTGCCTGCACCCTGGTTGTCTGTGCCATGTCTCGACGTCATCTCGGTCTTGCATCATCCCATGTTCAGCCATCACCCCACCTCATTCCTCATGTCTCTCATTTATAAGCTCACTATTCCACTCTAACCCAACGTGATTCACAACGGCGCTGTCTGACTTGGCTCAAACCACACTACCTTTGGATGTCGATTCAAAATGGCTTCAATCTGGGGTCTCCTCCGGCGCAACTATTATATCTTTAATCCGCCAGTCGCACCACGGCAAGATGGGGCTCTCCGCTTCGGCATCCTTGGTGCTGCCAACATTGCGTGAGCGAATACAATGATCCCAAAATCCACAATATTAACATTAGTCCAGGCCCATGGCCTTAATCAACCCGGCTAGATCCCATCCAGAGGTTGTCGTCCAAGCAGTCGCTGCCCGCGACCCAAAGAAGGCCGCCGCATTTGCCGCGAAGCACGGCATCCCAGACGTAAAGCCAGACTATCAGTCCATCATCGACGATCCCTCAATTGACTGCATCTACATCCCGCTTCCTAATGGTTTGCACTATGAATGGACCGTTAAGGCGCTTGAGGCGGGCAAGCACGTCCTCCTCGAGAAGCCGTCTGTCGCCAATGCTCGAGAGGCGGAGGCGCTTTTCCGACTGCCATTACTCAAGGAGCCGAAGGCCCCCGTCCTACTCGAAGCATTCCATTACCGGTTCCAGCCAAGCTGGCAGTACTATCTGACCTTGGTCGACGCACCGAACGTCGAGCATGTGAAGGCCAGCGCACACATTCCGTGGTTCATTATTGGTAACGACGATATTCGGTGGGAATACGATCTTGCCGGCGGTGCTCTGATGGACCTTGGAACGTACACCATCAGTGCGATCCGCCAGACGTACGGCATCGAGCCTGACGAATGTCTAGAGGCCAAGTTCGACACCATGCCTCCCCCCAAGGACATGGCTGACCACTCGTGGAACGTCACTTGGCGGATGAAGAACGGCGGGACCGCAGAGGCAGAGGGAACGTTGCGGGCCGGGCTGGCCGCCATCGGGGTGCCGAAGCTGATTGTCACGCACAAGGAGACCGTCGTCGAGGACGCCAAGCTGCCGGTCGGGCAGGAGAAGACGCGTAAGCGCAAGATTGACTTTGCCAACTTCATGTTTGGCGGCATATGGCATCGAATCGACGTCAGTGACGAGTTCGTCATCAAGAACAAGAGCAACGGGGCGGTGGTGAAGAGGTGGACGGAGAAGCAGTCGAAGAAGGCGTACACTTTCCAGGAGGCGGGCATCCAAGCCGCTAGCGAGGAGCACTGGATCACGTACCGACACCAGCTGGAGCAGTTTGTCAACCGCGTCAAGGGGCGCGAGACGCCATTTTGGGTGGACGGGGAGGACAGCATCAACCAGATGAGGATGATTGATATGGCGTACGAGAAGGCGGGCTTGCCGCTGCGCCACTCGCCTGGCGTCACGATTTGATGATATCACACACGGTCCAGGATGCTTTTTGTTTTCATCATGACTTGCTTTGAAACCGCTCCCTGTTGCTTATTTCTAATGTAGTTGTGAAATCCAACTCACGAATGACATGGTGCTCCCAATAAGATGCATCCCCGTGATCACTCTCCCAATGAAGTACAAAAACAATGACAGCCGCCCGCTCCTCCATCGAAACGTGCTGCTGTGCTAGCCCCGACTGAACCCACCCTTTGCGACTTCGATGAACTCGTCCTTGCTCACCCACCCCTTGCCCGAGATGTCCGCCATCTCAATCATCCTCCGCATGTCCGACTCGCTCAGCGTGCTATTCACCTCGGAACACACCGCGCGCAGGCTCTCCAGCGTGATGCGCCCCGTGCCGCGCGGGTCGAACATCTTCCACGCGTCCTCGGCCTCCTCCTGCGGGTCGCGGCGCATCAGCATCCACGCGGCGATGGCGGAGAAGTGCTCCTGGGGCATGCGCAGACGCGACGGGCTGCAGGGGCCCCGCGCCGGGTCGTGGTCGTGGGGCGGCACGCCGTGGGCGAGCAGCAGGGCGTACGTTTCTGTGCGGGCGAGGTCGAAGCCGATGGCGCGCAGGGCAAACGGCCATTCGCGCGCGTTGAGGGAGCCCAGGCCTTGTTGGTCTACCACCTCCCACTGTGTTTTCCCGGCTGGTGTGAGCGGGCGATCAATTGGTGCTTGGAGGTTGGGTGGGTGAGACTTACAGCTTCTCTGATGTTGTTTTGCCAGTCCGTCGGCAGCGCGGCTAGGTCGCGACGGCCTTGGTTCATGTCGAAGAGTGACGCGGTCGTCATCTCGGCGGCGGTTGTGTTGTTGTGGAATCGGCGTTCCGGGTATCTTTAGTGTTGGTTGCTCCCCTAATCCGGCAGAGAAAGCCGGGTCAAGCAAGGCAGGTCGAGTTAAGAGCCTCAGTTTAAGACCAGACTCGGAGGCTGGTGGTTGAGGGCCGGGCAAGATGAAAAAATGCGATTGGGGTATCTGGAAATACGAGCGCGATTGAAACGTCCCCTAGATGTTTCTTTTTTGAATTCCTTAAGGTCCCATGCTCGTTCTCCGGCAATTCGTAAGGTTGGATTGCTTGTTTACTGAGAGCAAGCTCAGCGCGCTTCACAGCTCATTCATCTCATCGCGAACTGGAGGCGCGGTGAGAAGGTACGTATCTAACCTGGAAAGCTCGACTGTGGGGCATTGTGGCTAGGACAGATCACGTGGGCAACGGTCGAGGAGCACCACCAACACGCCTTGGAACGCTCGTTCCATTCAATTCTTCGCGAGAAGGAATTCTAGAATACTTAACAATTATGCACCAATGGATGGGAAGCTGCTTGATTTTTGATGATTTCGGTATGATCGATGGCGGCGACCTGAACTCACCTCTTCTCCGCCGAAGAAACTCCGCGCTGGAGACCGGTTCGGAGAGCGACCAATCATTTTCAGCTTGAACCATTCACCTCCATCCAAGAGGCGTCAGTAGTCATCCATCATCCATCGTGACTGTGTTTGCATTGCGGTGTCCGGGTGTTGCTAGTCGCTCAAGATCCTTTTCACAATGAGACCAACGTTATGCCGTCCGTTTCAGTCCACTTTCCGAGTGTTAGGTCATGAGAACCCTCTGGTACAGTGCCCTTCTTACTGAACCGCAGAAACAAGGCACTGACACGAGCCCAGGGCCTCCCGAAATCCGGCACGCCACCGCATTGGCCGCGAAAACCGGTTCGGCGCAAGATCACCGGAGTGGACAAGGTCATTGCCGTCTCGTCTGCCAAAGGAGGTGTCGGCAAGAGCACAGTTGCGGGTGAGAAGGATAATCACGACATTAGTGAAAAGAACGCTTTGTATTGACTTCCAGAAGCAAATCTATCTCTGGCTTTTGCGCGGCTAGGATATCACGCTGGCATTCTTGACACAGACATCTTTGGGCCGTCCATCCCTACCCTGTTCAACCTTTCAGGGGAGCCAAGACTGTCGCAGAGTAAGTCAAATCTCTCACTCGGCTAGGACTCGTGCTGATCACAGCCCAGATAACCAACTGGTGCCAATGACAAATTATGGTGTCAAGACCATGTCGATGGGATATCTCGTTCCGGAGGACGATGCTGTGGTTTGGAGGGGCCCGATGGTCATGAAGGCTATTCAACAACTGCTTCACGAGGTTGACTGGGGTAATCTCGATGTCCTGGTCTTGGACTTGCCCCCTGGAACGGGAGACACACAACTGACCATCACCCAACAAATCATTCTCGATGGTTAGTATGCCCCCTGCCGAGAATATTCTGACGCGGTACATGTCACTGATCATTGTCAGGATCCATCATCGTCACGACACCTCACACACTCGCCGTAAAGGACGCCGTCAAGGGCGTCAACATGTTCAACAAGGTCAACACCAATATCCTGGGCCTGGTTCAGAACATGTCACTGTTCAAATGTCCTCACTGCCATGGAGATACTCAAGTGTTCGGATCGAACGACAGAGTCGAGCGCATGTGCAAGGAGCACAATATCAGCTTCCTGGGCGACATACCACTCCACCCGTCAATTGGAGACGACGCGGACCTCGGCAAACCGACTGTGGTGTCCGAACCGACAAGTGAGCGAGCAGGGATATTCCTCAAGATCGCCCAGAACATCGCTCCCAGGATCGACCTCCGTTCACCGTAAATTGCTCGGAGAGGTGAGCTTCAAATTGGCGTGATGAGTGTAGGATACCCTGTGTAAGCAAACGTTTAGTCAACGGGACTTCGAGCAGGGGTATTGTGGGCATCTCATGTATTTGTGTCAACAGTCCCTTTGCGCTCCTAGCAGCACCCAGATCGGAGCAACCCCTTCGCATCTGGAGGGAAGAAAAGTCGTGTGTACAAACCGTTAGCCTATGTAACGCGGAAACAAGACACATTACCAGGAATGGAACGAGACTGCCAAACCACCCTTAAACGCCATCCAGCCCTCGGGCTTCCTTGAGGATCATTCCCATGCATAGAAATCAGACGGTAGGTTAGTCCAGCTCGTCGTTTTGCTGGTATACGTGACGGCTGCGGGTAGGATCTTTGCGCATGGCTTGGCCGGAGCCTGTAAAGCCAACTGTGACAACGTCAGAAAAGGCCCAGACTTGACAATGAGGAGTTGACATACCTCGGCCATGTACACCGTCGGGCGTGCGGAACATGCTGTCCTTCTTCTGCTTTCCGAACTTGGACTTGGAGTTGAACTCCTGCCACTTGCTCTTGCCCTTCTCCAGCTCCTTGGTGGCCTTAATCTTCTTGGCCTTGGGAGGCTTGGTAGCAGCATCGGCGTTCTTCTCCGCATCGAGTTTGGCTTGTTGTTCCGGGTACAAGCTAGCAGCAGCGGATGTGACGACACCGTTCGACGGGCCGGATGCCTTGGGCGGCGCAGGCTGTGCAGCCTGTTGTGCAGTGCTGGGTCCGGACGCTGGTGTTCCGTCAGCCTTGCGTTTGTTGGACATGGGTCGGATGTCCTTGGCCCGCAATGTGTCGGTCTCATCGTAGCTCTTGAACTTGACAACATAGATTGGCGCCGTCGATGAGCCGGTGATAGAGGTGATGCGCGCAGGGTAGAACCCTCTGTCGCCTGAGACCCATTTGGCCATGACAGTGTCGTTCACACGGTAGACAACAGGGGCATCATCCTTCTCTTCGACGGCGGGGGCGGCCTTTTTGAAGGCAGGATGGTTCTCCTTGGACCACTTCTCGGGGGGCGGGCTGGGGGCTTTGAGAGGCGCGGGCTTGGGTGCCTGCTTCGGCTGCAGCTCAGCAAGAGACTCGTTTAAGAGGGAAATCATGTCATTCAACTCCGCCTGCAGACTTTCGAGTTCGGGGTTTCCGGGGTCATCCTTCAGACCAGCGTGGACGACGTCGAGCTGGCGAGGCAAGGTTAGCAAACGCTCGTTTGGGAAGGTTCAGGCGGGATGGCGCGTACCTGCTCCTGGTACTGTTTGCGATCCGCCTCCAGGGCCGCGATTTCGGCGGACATTTTGGCTGTTGGATTGAAGAGATGCTGTGGAAAGTATGAGTACGAAGGTAACGAAGGGCGGGATGCGAGTAGTCGGGCTCGAGTGGTTTGCGAAGGGTGGGTTAGCGGCAAACACGAGATGTTGCTGCGGTCGCGGTGGTTGTGATGTTGAGGCCTGCTTGCGACGGACTGCGGCGAAAGTAGAGCCGCTGTTGCAGTCAGGTTCACTTCCAGATTCCGTTGTAGCCAAAGCTTATCCGAGATCACGTGCTGATAAGAGCACATGGGAATGCATGCAACGCCCCAGGATGACCTCAAGTGAGAAAGAATCTGGAGGTGCAGGCCAATGAGGGCTTGCTGATTGGGGTCCCCAGAATGCTGGAATGCAGCCTGTGGGTTTTAGGAATCGGGAGTACAGGGGTGGGAAGAGGCGGTTGAAGCCGGCAGACACGGGCACTTCAGCTGGTGTGCTGGCCGTACCACAGCCTGCCCGGGTACCTAACTAGGTAAGTAAGCCAGCCGTAATCCAGGCACTGGCACTGGCGGCACTGGCTGACGATACCTCTCTAGGGGTCCAGTGGTAGGTGGGTGCTGTGCTGTTTGGGGTTGCGGTTGCGGTTTAGGTGCGGGCGTGCGCGGGTGCGAATTCGGTCTCGGGTACCTTGACAAGCTCGTCTTTCATTCTCTTCTGCAAGACTAGTTAATCTCAACCTCTCCCCCTCGCAACACCAACTACATTTCTTGCGCACATCGCATCGACACAGAAGCATCATCAGCCTCGTTCTTCCCATTCAATTGGCCGCTCCCGGGTCACGTCGCGCCGTACCGCGCCCCGGACACATCTTCACAGGCATTAGGTCATTGAAACAGGTCGGCAGCCACCGCGGCTGCATCCATCGGCCCTCCGGACAGGACGCCCACCAGCAATAGCAGCAGCAGCAGCAGCAGCAGCAGCAGCAGCAGCAGCAGCAGCAGCAGCAGCAGCAGCAGCAGCGCATCAGAACTCACCCGCGCCTTGCTACCATCCCGACACCCCAACCGGCATATGTCATACACCTATCCAGGGGGCAAATAAGCAATCATGGTTCGAGACAGAGACGGCGACGAATCCTCGTCTGCCAGCCAATCAAAACGCCCTGCCCTCAATCATCAGGAGAGCGACTCGACCAACAGCGACAACGCCGTCAGAGAACAGCATCATCAGCACCGCTCCAAGCCTCAGAAGCACGTTGTTGGTGCCGGTCGCTTGCATGCACGCGTCCCATCCTCTAAAGCATTACACAAACATCATGGATCAAATGCCTCCAAACTGAATCACCGACGCATAGCATCTCCTTCCCCCGAGCGCAAGCCCACCTTCGCAGCCACCCATCGCCGCGTTCAGTCCGACGCGAAGCTCTCTCGCGACAGCTCCTCCACGAATCTGAGCAAAAATACCTCTTCAACAAGCCTGCGCCGTAACAAGTCCCACGGCGAAGTGAACAAGAAGTCCAAGTCTTCCGACAAGTTAAAGAGGACCAACTCGAACCCCGCCGTCAACAAGGTCAAGCCGCAAAAGTCGCAGGTACACTTCGACTTGGGTAACGACGGCCAGGACGACGAATGGGTGGACGCCAGCACATCTGCCTCACCATACCTGTCGAGAAGAGGCTCCCTGGCCAGCGCCCAATCCTCAGCGAAGCCCGACGACAGCAGTGCAAACAACAGCGCGAATAACAGCGCATACAACTCTAGAACCGAAACTCCCGCAGCGCAACCGTCCCCTCCTGCCTCGTCCACTCCCGACCGCGAGACCGTTCAACACAAAGAATACTTGACATCGAGGTTGCTCCAGCGCACCCCCTCGCACGGCGCGCCGCCCAAGATGACTGCAGACACCGTTTCCGTCTCGCGCCGGGGTCAATCTCAGTCCCCCGACTCCATCAGCCGTGTTTCCAACCTCGCCGACTCGCACAATATCAACACTCTGCCAGGAACGAGCTCCGGCGATGAACTGATTTCGAGATTTGTTGGCGCTGGAAGCTCCGGTGCAGCTCGCGAAGGGTCGTTCTACAACCTTCAGAGGAGACCAGACAGTCGAAGGTCCGAGGACATTCCGCAGCAAAGGCCACAGTCTTCCGCGAGCTCTGGGCGACCGTCGCGACGAGAATCCGGATTGTCAGATGATGAGAATGGCACTGCGCTTGCTCCGCGATCGGCCAGACGGTCCGCCCCCCCGGCCGAGAAATCACGAACTCAACAAAAGCTTAATTTGCAGCGAGCGAGCTCAGTGATCGAACCGGGACAGGCTGTTGGAGGTGGTGTTGGTGCAGTAGGCGCAAGCCCGCTGGTGGGAATCGGAGGCCCGGGTTACGATGGCGGCGCGAGCCGCGACCCACGTGTAGCGAAGCAGCTGGAGAAGACGGGGATGGAGTACCTCAGTGTTCGCCGGTTCCAGAACCCCGTCGCGCGATCTTTAGATCGCTTAGCGCAGGCCAATCGCCAGAACAAGAACCAGCGCATACCTCGCAATGGCACTGCCAGTCTCAATGGAAAGGCGGCGTCAATGCGGAGTGGCATCGTGTCGGGCCAGCACACGCGAGCTTCCAGCATCAACGAGAGCAGTGCTGCCGCTGCCAGAAGGCCAATGACACCCCGCGCCCAGTCAATCAGGACAAATGGTGCCGGATCCAGCTTCGAGGCTGATGTTGAGGACCACCAGAGCAGCCGGGCACTACACGAGGGAGCCGGAACTCAAGGACTTAGTGGGTCCAGTCTTGTTGGCGGAGAGGAAGACGAGGGTGTAACGGCCATCCTGCGGAACCTTTGGGAGAAGAACCTAGACCTCAGTGCCAGCCAGGACTAGGAGGATTTGCCTAGCGGTGAGGATCTGGATCTCATTCCGAAGGAGTAGGGTGGGGAGAGCAGAGAGCACACACAAAGGCGCGACTTGTCCGGGGAGTTCATTGCTGCAGTGGCTTCTTTGTTGTCCAGCCATGTCTATGCTCTCCCGGCAGTTCCCATGCATCACTGGTTGCTCACGGTGTATTAATGCGCTTCAGTTCTTTCAGACTTGGAAAGCGCTTGTTTTAACAATAAAGGTGTACTATGAATGGTACAGGTGGGCGGGCGGGCAAGGATGAGCTTTTTGGTCGCTAAGCACTTCGGATAGACAGTCGTAATTGGCAGGAAATACAAAAGTAGTAATTGATGGCGAACAATGTACACAGAGGCGTTCTATTGCTTTTTCGCGATTCACACTTGCTGTTGTCATATCCGCAACACCAAGACGGGAACGATTTGATAACTAAAGAAGGGTAGAACGATGGACTACTCAGGGGAAAGAACATCGGTGTACAATACGCCGGGGCTTGATGTGACCACCCGGGGGTTTGTGGATTAGTCATTCCCGAGTGTCACCTGAAAACTAAGCAACAGCACCTTGCGTTCAAATGCTACTTGCATTAAACAAATCTTCTCTCAGCACTTTCTGGAGACCTTCTATTGACGGGATTGGGGTGGGTAATATCAGACCGAAGCTCACCGGAGCGGAGTTGTTGGTTTGGCCAATGAGCTCTCGGTGAAGGCGTTGGTGGAGATTGGTCTCAGATCTGGGTTCGGAAATATTCCGGATTCCTCAGAGAGTTCGGCGATAGAGCGAGGGACTCGAGCCAAACCCAGCCTCCCCCACACTCAACCTCCCTACCCTGTCCGCCTCATGCAAGTGGCTTAGCTCCGTTGGGCGCGACACCTTGTCTCTGCTGCCACTTGCTCGAGCTGCGCGAAGCTGCGGGGGTCGCGATCCGGTACCTTATTTGTGCACTTCTTCTTTCTTTTTTTGACGTATTGGAGCGACCGGCTGCGACCCGTTTGCCGGCTTTCTTGGTATCGCATTATTCGTCTAGAACTATGGTCATTTGGGCGAGGAAGCGAAGACCAAAATGGACGGAGATTGGGACGAGGTAAGTAGCAATCTGGGCCCCTTCTCTCCTGTGGTGTTGCGGCTCGAGTTCCAATGGGCGAGCCTCGCCATACCTGCCTCCGCGCGTCGCGGCTCCTTTTGCGATGATGGGCGCTTTGATCTGAGCTTCGCTGACAAAGTCCGCCATCCAGGTCGCCCGCATCCCCTTTCCGCCTCCGGGCGTCCACGCCATGGCCACGCCCGTAACGACAATGGCCTTCGATACGGCGCAAGAGCTGCTCTGGACGGGCAATGAATATGTAAGAATCCGATTGACGACTGTCCGGGGCTGTCCGAGCCTGACCAGCTGCAGGGAAGAGTCACGTCATTCTACGGTAGCGAGCTTCAACGATACACTTCTTTCAAAGCGCATACCACAACCGATGGTCCCGTCCGACAGATCTTAGTGAACGACAAGGGCGTCGTGGTGCTGGGGTCGAGAGATATACACATGGCCTCGCGCAAAGGCCCTCCCATATGGCACATAAGGTGCGTAGCGACACACGCGGCTATGAAGGACGGATCTGACTGACGTCAGTGCAGACATGATGACATGAAGGACTTACGATGCATGAGTTTTACGTCCAAGGGGACGTCAGAGATCCTTGTTGCCGGTTTTCAGGACACCATGTTTGTGATTGATCTCGCTAAGGGTGAGGTGGTCAAGCAGGTATGCTTTTCGCCCTCGTCCGGTCGCTGAGCTTCACTGACAATGTCAGGTGCCGACGGCGCATTCGTATAAAGTTATGAAGAAAAGCAGGTATATCTGTGCTGCGACTAAAGAAGGCACGGTTAACCTGATCGATGCGGCCAATTTTACTGTCGCCAAAAGCTGGAACGCTCACTCGGCTCTCATCAGCGACATGGACGCCCAGCACGACTTCATCGTCACTTGCGGCTATTCACTGCGCCAAGGCCAGAACTACATGTTAGATCCCTTTCTGAATGTCTTCGATATCAAGAAGATGTCGTCGATGTCGCCGATTCCATTCCCTGCCGGCGCCGCCTTTGTTAGGATGCACCCGCGAATGTCGACCACCAGCATAGTCATGTCTCAAAGCGGCCAGATGCATGTCGTCGATCTAATGAATCCGAATACTAGCAATGTACGGCAGGCTAACACGATGACATATTTGACCATGTTCGAGATCGCGCCGTCTGGTGAGGCCGTTGCTCTTGCGGATGCCGAGTTCAACATCCATATCTGGGGTTCTCCCTCTAAGCTACGATTTGTTGATTTCGCATCGCAAACTGAATTTGCTACGCCCGAAGAACCCCTTCCAAGTATCGAGTGGACTGCCGACACGTAAGTGCATGGAGATGTTGAAATACTCTACCGCTTGCTGACTTGCTTGTAGACCTCTGAACTCTATCGGCACGCCCTACTACCGAGATGTATTGCTGTCGGCTTGGCCAGATCTTGTGTCTGATGTTGGGGCTCCTCCTACCAAGCTGGATCCGCAATTTCTGTCTGGCCTCAAGGCGACGGACTTTGGAATGTATGGACGTAATACAAGAGGATTCCGAAGAAACCAAGTGGAAGACACCCGCAATCTGGACAAAGCCAACGCGTCAGGTATTCTGGCGCCTAAGTTCCTCAGCGAAAAAGCCAGGGAGTTTGCCAAGACTCCCGACAACGACGACGAAAAGGTCGACGATGTTGCAAACGCGCTGATGCGCATGGACATCGATCCTCTAAAGGCGGAGTGTCCGCCAATGTATCGGAACGTGGAGATCAAATACAGCAAATTTGGCGTTGATGATTTTGACTTCGGGTATGTCAGCTCGTCGTTTATGGCAATGGAAGCCCACTCACGGTCGACAGGTTCTACAATAGGACGCAGTACTCTGGTCTTGAGATCCACATCGCCAACTCTTACGCCAATTCTCTGCTTCAGGTTTTGCATTTCACGCCCCTTCTTCGGAACATAGCGCTCCAACATGCGGCGACCGCTTGCGTCGAAGACACATGTCTGTTGTGCGAAATGGGTTTCTTGTTTGACATGCTGCAAAAGGCCGAGGGCTCAATCTGCCAGGCAACCAACATGCTGAAGACTCTCAGCCATCATCCTCAGGCCGGTCCTCTTGGGCTTCTTGAGGAAGACCCTAATGGCTCCAGTCTGACCGTAATGCTTCAAGGCTTGGTCAGATTTCTCACTGAGAAAATCGTGGTAGATTTTAAGTCAATCCAGCCGGGTTCAGGCTTGATGGATCAGGTGCGGTGACTGTCCCTTTTTCTTGGGAGCTCAGCTAAATCTTTCCAGATGCTGTCGACCTCAGCGACAAGTTTCATTAGGTGTATGAACTGTAGGAGCGAGTATACTCGACCGGGCTCTGGCTTCTTCCAAGAACTGATGTATCCGCAACAAAGTGTAAGTATTCACTCTGTGCTATGCCTGTACTTGGCGGCGCAATCCGACCGTGTCTGGCAAAACAACTTCCGTTTGAGCCTGGCTGTTCTGGGATGCTCCTCCTTGGTACCGTAGTGCAAATCGCTGACTGTGTACAGAAGAGCATGGTGCGGAACCAGAAGGCTCCCAAAGTAACTTTCTCCCAAATTCTCAAGTCGAGCGTTGAGAGAGAGACCACTTCCAAAGGCTGGTGTAGCAGATGTCAGCGATACCAGAACATTGCAGCTAGAAAGACCATTCACAGCATCCCTGCCGTCTTTGTCATCAATACTCTTATCAACAGTCCGGAGCATAGACGCTTTTGGTCAACACCAGGGTTCCTGCCTGAGGAGATTGGCGTCATAGTAGACCATGGCCAATTTTTCTGCTACGAAGGCGAGGATCTCAAACTTCATCTCCAGCGCGGTATTCACAACATAACTGTGTATTCCCTCGTCGGTATGGCCGTGAATATCGACCCAGGTGCAGGGCAAAAGCCTCACTTGGTCGCCATGGTGAATGGTACGTTTCCTCAATGCGCAATGAAGAGCACCGGAACTAACTTTCGGTCAGTCGCCCACGCGCAGCCCCAGGCGCCCCAAACAAGCCAGTGGCATCTTTTCAACGACTTCCTCGTGCGGCCCGTTGCAACCGAGGAGGCACTCGCGTTCCATCCCGCATGGAAGATGCCATCAGTTGTTGTTTTCCAGCTCAAGGAGGCGAACAACAAGATAGACATGGACTGGAAGAAGAACATTGATACCTCTTTGCTGTATCATGACACCAAGTAAGCTCCGTCTCGGCAATCTTGCACACACCATACCCCTACTGACCCTTACCAGCCCTCATGTGGACGGCAAGACTTACCGTGCCCTGGATTTGGCCACCGAACAGCCTGGGCCGGAAAGCATTGTCGCTCTGGATACCGAGTTCGTTGCTGTCCGTCAGCCAGAGATCGAGATGAATTCGGACGGCGAGAGGGAGACGATCCGGCCAATAGTGTACGCTCTTGCGAGAGCTTCCGTCGTTCGAGGTCAGGGAGAGGACGAAGGGGTTCCGTTCATCGACGACTACATCTCCATCAGGGAGCCCATCGTGGATTACCTGACATCGTATTCCGGCATTACTCACGAGGACCTGGACCCGCGGGTGTCCAAGCACAACCTTGTGTCCCTCAAAGTTGCATACAAGAAGCTCTGGATACTCCTGAATCTGGGCTGTAAGTTTCTAGGCCATGGTCTCAAACAGGACTTCCGGGTGATCAATATCCATATTCCCAAGTCCCAGGTCGTCGACACCATTGACCTTTTCTTCCTCAAGTCTCGCCTGCGCAAGCTGTCTCTGGCCTTCCTGGCATGGTATCTGCTGAAGGAGGACATTCAACTAGAAACACACGATTCGATTGAGGACGCTAGGACGGCGTTGAAGCTGTATCGCAAATATCTGGAGTTTGATGATGCCGGCGTGCTGGAGCCCATGCTTCAGGACATTTATCGCGCAGGTAGAGAGAACAATTTCAAGCCGCCAAAGAGAGGTCTGGATGTCCAAAGAGCTCTGACGCCTCCTCCGCTCGCAAGCGAGGCAGCGGCTGCCCCTACGACGCCATCTGCCGTCGAGCAGGTGTCGGGCAATGGGTTCGGCGCAGGTGCGACGTGGACGCCGGGCAAGGGCTCCCCCTTGCGGTGAGAGCAAAGGCAGTCACAACATCACGCCCTGGCCCTGGTCGATTTTCGACGGGGAAAATGGCAAATAGAGTTAGACAGAATCCCTAAACAATACTACCTATGCGCTCGGGTTCCAGTTTTTTGTTTTCCCCTTTTGGCGCGCTTTTCCTCCCGTCGTCTCTATCGTCTCGGTGTCGTCTCCATCGTGGTGTCGTCTCCATCGGCTTCGTCTTTTTTCCACCCCCTCACATAGGTTCTTCATCGCCTTCGTCGTCGTCACATTCCCCATCCCCCGGGTTCTTCATGGGACGCACGCCCCCCGGCGTGTTGCTCCAGACCCGGCCATACACTCTCCAAGACCGGTTTAGCGGAGGCCCATCCAGGTCCATCCGTAGGGCTGACATGGACCCCGATGATCTTGAAAGTCAAATCCGCAGAGGTTCCCGGGATGTTCTGGCCAATGGAATTACAGGATCACAACGACTGAATGATCTACGCTCAAACAGACGTACTGAGCTGATGTATTTACTGATCGTGGGATAGACACCAGCCGTGGGGAATATGTATATATATCCCGCGTCAGCCCCCCAACTCCTCCTCCTCTTCTTCTTTTCTTCTCCATGACTTGTCATCGACTTCTTAGCTTGCTATGGATTTCTTTCGTCTCGTCTGCGCCGCCCTGACCGAAGCTCGGTTCGTCAGGGCCTGGGTTCATGTCCCAGTCGACAATACTTGCTCCTGCCTGCTCGTTACATGCGTCGGCCTCGGTGGGGTTTACCTCGCCAGGTCCTGGGTTAATGTCCCTGTTTCCGCCCTCCCCCTCTCCCTCCTTACATGCGTCGGCCTCGGTGAGATTTCTCTCGCCAGGTCCTGGGTTAATGTCCCTGTTTTCTCCGCCCTCCTCGTTCTTCTTTTTGCCTTTGCCGCCTTCGTCCACCGGCCCTCTCGTAGGGCGTCTGGAGGTGTTGGTTCAGCTTTGGTTGGTGTGTCAGGTTCGTCTGCTATCTCTATTCATCCCCCTCTTACTCCCTCGGCTGTGGCCATGCCGGTTCGCGCTTTTCTGCGCTCTCTTCCCCCCTCTCCTGTTCCCCCCTCTACAGTCGTTACTGCTACTCCTATCCCAGCTCAATCCTCTCCGGTGTTTGAACCTGAGTTTGAGCACCATACCGCCCACATTGGTAAGCTTATCGATCCTGGTTCGCCTTTTGGGCCCAGATCACCCCCATTCTTTCATCACACCATGGCTGTGCACTTCAGTCCTCCACGCGCTACCCCTGCCCCTCCCCCTGCCCCTTCTCTTGCTTCTCTCCCAGCTCAATCCTCTCCGGTGTTTGAACCTGAGTTTGAGCATCATACCGCACATATTGGCAAGCTTATCGATCCTGGTTCGCCTTTTGGGCCCAGATCACCCCCTTTCATTCACCATACCATGGCGGTGCACTTCAGTCCCCCTCCCGCTGCCCCTCCCTCTGCCCCTGCCCCCTCCCCTCCACCACCCTCTTTTGATGCACTTATGGCTTGTGTAGATTATCAGCAACGCTGTCTTCGCCAGATCGGAATCGGCCAGAGCTCATCTGGTATTTCGTCGTCTTCCCCGCCTCGCACCCCTCGTCGTCTTCTCTTCCCTCCTCGCTCTCCCACTCTCGACTCTTTCATCTCTTCTGATCAGGCTGGTCAGTCTCTTACCAATCCCTTCATCTCTTCTCCCCGTCCTGCTTCTCCCTCCGTTACCGTCTCTTCTCCTGTTCCTTCCTTCGATGCCCTTATGTCCCGCGTCGAGGATCAGCAGCGCGCTCTACATGAACGAGGTTTGATTTCTCGTCCCGCTCCCTCTCCTCCCCTTGCTCCCTCTCCCTCTCCTCCTCCTTCTCCTTCTTCTTGTTCTGCCCATCCCCCTCCACGCAGCCCTGACACCATGGATCGTAACATGGCAGCTATGTTCGCAAAGGCAGCGGAGAGCGATCGGCTTGTGGCAATCAAACTCGCTCAGCTCAAGGAGTTGGCGGCTGGCATGACGTTTCGACCCGACACCCCCAAGAGTCCAACGACCCCGGAGAAGTCATACGACTACTCGGAATGGAGCCCTACGCCTATTACCATCTCCATCGACTTCGAACCGACTGTCTTTGCTTCGGACGCTTCCTTCTCTTACACTCGTTCACCTACGCACTCACCTGTGCTGGCTCTTCCTTCTGCCGTTGCTGAGTGGGATCATCCTGCTTCTGCTTCTGCTTCTGCTTCTACATCCTCTCTTTCTGCTGTTGCTGAGTCGGATCCTCCTTCTTCTGCTTCTGCGTCCTCTCTTTCTCCTGCTTCTTCTTCTCTCCGAGACGAGGACATCGCGGCATTGAAACGGTTTGCTCGCAACGTTCAAACCAACATTCTCGCAAAGTCTGGCAAGTCACTCCCTCCTACATGGGAACCTCCTTCTTTCACAGGTCCCTACCTCGCTCCTGACTCACCGCGTCCTCCTTCGCCTCCTCTCCGCGACGAGGACATTGAAGTTCTGCAACGGTTTGCTCGGAACGTTCAATCCAACATTCTTTCCAAGTCAGGCAAGTCACTCCCTCCTACATGGGAACCTCCTTCTTTCACAGGTCCCTACCTCGCTCCTTCTTCACCGCGTCCTCCGTCTCCTCCTCCTCCTCGTCCGAAGCGAGTTGTTCGAATCAGTCGGCGAACGAACCGTCTCCTCCGCTGAAGCTTTTGCCTCGACGCACTTCATTCAGCTTTCTGTTCGGGAGTCACCGCAGTGCATTGCAACGACTTCTGAGCTTCATTTTTATCTTCATGTTCTGGTTTGGGAAGTCATTGGGCTTCTTTGAACTGCTGTGGCATCTCGTCTCGCCGTTTATCCTCCTCGCATCATTGAAGAAGGTAAGTCATCTCTCCCTCTCCTCTTCGTGTGATATGACATGTGTGTGCTAATTTAGATCGCCACTTCGACTGTGATCCCACAACAAAACGTAAGACACTCCCCCCTTCTATTATTCTTCTGACACTGGCTAACTACTTGTTCGTTTCCACACTCATGATGAGGCTTCTCGACAATGCGAAAAGGTAAGTCATCTCTCTCTCCCTCGTGTGACATGACATGCTTGTACTAACCCAGACCGCCGCCTCGACTGTGATCAAAAAGAAAGAAAGGTGAGATACTTCTCTATTCCAATTTTTTTTTTTTTTTTGACATCGACTAGCCACTTGACTGCTCGCACACTCGGGGCACATCATGCATCTCAAAAGGTAAGCAATTCTCTCTTTCCAATCTTGCTCTTCCTTGACCTTGACTAACTACTCGACTGTCCATCATCCTGACTTTGACATGATGCAAATCAAGAGGTAAGATACCCCCTATTCTCAATATTGTTCGACAACGACTGACTACTTGGCTGCACACCGTTTTGTCTCTGCGATGCATGATGCAACCCAAAAGGTAAGCAAGTCTACCTTTCCCATTCCGTCCTTTCTTGACATGGGCTGACTTTCTGGTCCCCTTATAAATAAATGTTCCCTGTGATGTCTCTGTCGTAAAAGGTAATGCTTTGTGTGTGTCATTGTGACTGCCTTCCATGTTCCCCTGGTGACATGTAAGTCTTTTGCCAAGTGTTCCTGCCAGCCACAACTGTTCTCCATGGGCCTTGCAGCTGGGGCTTGCCGGTGTGACGTCCTACTATTGCTGCAAGTGAGGATGTCATTTCAGGCTATACATCCGCCACACCAATCCCATGTGTCCTTCACGGTGATGACTGCGGATACCAACAGTTGGTTTTGCAAAACGCTCGCCGCGCAATCCGGTACACCTGAGGCGTATCTTCCGATGAGGTTTGTTCTCGTCCGTCTTTGCTGCATCCTCCCGATGTTGGTGTTGATGTGCACATCGACGTGAGGTCCTGTCGCGTCTTGGTGTCGTGCTTTTGCCAGATGGTCTCTCCAGACATCTCATAAGCAAGACCTCCCTCACAGGAGCCACACGTTGGTTTGATGTAATTGAAGAGTCCATGAACTACGTGATGCTCAGTTTCTGCCGCTCATTGCTAAGCTAAAGCTGCACGCCCGCAAGCTAGGGTTGACGGGTTTGATATTCCAGCTTAGCTTCGGCATGCATTGACGTGGCAGGGCGGATTGTCTTGATCATTGTTGTAGACATGGCTGGAAGCTTGTGCCCGTAGTGCTCAATCGCGTCTACTTGAGCCAGGAGCTCATCATGCGTTAGCATGGGCAATGCCGTCATCTGCCAACTTCTGAAGGACGAATACCGTGTGGTTCGAGAAGCGTGCAGACCCTCATATCAACACCAGTAGGAAGTTCGTGGAAGTCATGCTGCGAATTCGTGTGACAAACATAGATATCAAGCGATAGTCCGCATTCACTCCATCAAGGCGCTTCGCCGTGGGAGTTGGACTCACACAGCCATGTATGCCACCACATGCTCTCTCCATTTACGAATGCCGACGCGATATCCGCACAACCATCATGTCCATGTCTAAACTTGCGTTAGTCGGCAACGAAAGTGCGTCCCGCAAGACCGATTGCCGGTGGGGATTCATGGCCTATCGGCTTCATTTAAGCGGAAACCCAATCGCCGTCATCCGCCGTCATCCGCCGGAAGGGAAGCATCCGCCTAGCGATCTATTCCATGCCATCCATGGTATTGAGCGAGTTTCGCGACTTCGCGAGAATACGGCGTGGCATTGCCGAGATCCTTGACAGCGTTCAACGAACAAGGGTGAAGATTGGCTTCTCCGGTTGTGGAAAAGCCCGCATCAAGTCGTGACGGCGTTTCTCGTCGCAAGGTGAAGCCGGAATGCGGGCCAACCACCGGGGAGCACACGAGAGGTTTCTCGGCTCAGGTTCCCAAGGGCGCGGGAGCATCCGGGTTGGTGGGTGGGTCAGATAGAGACAGGAAGTCCGATTAGGGCGTCGCGATTGGGCTTCATGACAATCTGGTCCCCTTGGAGCCCGGTTTGGGAGTCATCCCATGGGTTGTCGAGGTCAGACGGCAGGGGTCTGCGAGGGCTGCGA